TACAATCGAATATTAATTAGAATCGTCATTTTATTGAAGATTAATCAGAATCTATCGCATTTTTTTTTCTTTTTTAATAATTTAAATTGAGCTAATTATAATACAATTTAATTGTTATAATTATATAATAATTATAATATTAATTATATAATAATATAATATGATATAATATTACATAATAATATAATAATAATTATAATTATAATTAATTTAATTTAATAAATTAAATTGAGCTAATTTTAATAATTTAAAATGAGCTAATGCAACAATATCAAAACAATTTAAGTTTTCATACAATCGAATATTAATTAGAATCATCATTTGATTGAAGATTAATCAGAATCGTATCTATCGCCTTTTTTTTCTTTTTTAACAATTTAAATTATTTCCATGTTTTCAGCACTTTAACTTTTTTAGTAGAACTTGTAATTGTGTTTTTTTAAATGTGTTTACTGATTGCGAGAGTTTCCATGCATTTATGCATGCGAATTTTGAAGAAGCAAAAATACAGAGAGCAGAAATGCACAATCTAGTAAGTGAGGAGTAACTCATTACAATTTTTATAACAGGTGAAACATGAAAACTCTGCTCGAGTTCCAATCCTTCAACTACACAGAAATGTAAATATTCGCATAAAAATCTGCGATACAAATATACCTCCTTTGTTTTTTTTTGATAAAGATAAATATTAGTCTCGTCAGCTCTAATCTCCCATGAATCACCTAAACGTAGAACCGGTTTCTTGTATGAAAATCTGCCGTCGATTCAAAACAGCACATCGTGAACTGCGAAATGATTTTATCTGAAAGAACATTCTTCTTTTTTGTCAGAGTTTATCTGATTAATTATCGAACAAGAATTGGCGATAATGTAATTGATTAGAAATGCATGTATCAGTTCAGGTTCAGAACGACGCTTCGAGATCAACTACTCTATGCGGACCCAGTATTCATATGTTTAGTTGACGACAAAAGACAATCACACTCACACGCTCGCATCATTCATCGATATATATTCCAACATTTTTAATCATGCAATGCAATTTAGATACCAGCGCACTGCCATTATAGAGATCGAATATTTTACCGATGATTCCATGAATAATTAATGAACTTTGAATTAACATTTAGAGAAGAAGACGTTTCGTATAACGCACCAACCGAGTAAAACGATTATTCAATTACGTGGACAATGCCGAGTATTTTCCAGTCCATTTCTATTCAAGTATTCGAATTATGCGAGATCCTTCAAACAGTCACTCGGCAGCCCGTTAAATCGATCACTTTCGAGTAGGTAAAAGTGCACGGGCGTATGTAAATCTAATATTTATTCAGTTATTCAACGAATCTGAACGTTTTGCCTCTCTCTGCTAGCGTTTCCTTGCTTGGCGAAGAACGTCCTGCCAGCGAAAAATCCATCGAGCAAAAGTGCGTTATTTATTCACGGCTATATGGAACAAGTATTTAAGCGTCAGAAAGTTGGAAACGGAGGCAGAAATATGGTAGCGGCAAAAAATTTGTTTGAATAAATTTACAAGTTTGATTAACATACAGCTTGTTAACATTATCTTGTTAGTCCAAAAGAAAAAAAAGTGAAAAAGAAGCGTTTTCGTTCCGTTGAAAGGTTTACGTTTTGAAGAAACTGCTCTTGTGATGTTAATGTTATACATAAATACACAAATATTATACATATATTATATAATATGCCTACATGTAATATAATGTAATAATTTTTGTATGTATATATA